TGCACCCCGCTTGGCTATCCGGTACCCGTCTGCTGCCTCTGGAGACCCACAGACCAGCCACGTCCTGTAGGCTTCCTTCTTCAGCCTGACGGCTCCCCGAACCTCTGGTGTCCACTAGCGGGTACGGGGGTTGCCACCACGACTGGCATCAGCCACCTTGTGACCACAGCTAGCAACAGCCGCCTCAACAATCATAGAGTGGAACAAGGCCCACTTGGAGTCGATGTCCCCCACTGCTCTCGGGACGCTGTCAAAGCTCTGCCGGAGGTGGGTGTTGAAGACCGTCTTGACAGGTTCTTCTGCCAGGCGTTCCCAGCAGACCCTCACTATGCGTTTTGGTCTGCCAGGTCTACACGGCATTTTCCCCTGCCATCTGATCCATCTCACCACCAGGTGGTGATCAGTTGACAGGTCCACTCCTCTCTTCACTCGGGTGTCCAGAACGTACAGCCGCAGGTCAGATGATACTACTACAAAGTCTTTCATCGACCTGCGACCTAGGCTGCCCTGGTACCAAGTGTACCGATGGGCATCCTTATATTCGAACATGATGTTCGTTATGGCTAGGGATGGGTACCGAATTCGGTACTTTTTAAGGTACCGACCGAATTCCACAGTACCGACCGAGCACCAATTCACGTCATTTCAAACGGTGCCTCGTTTCGGTACCCGTCCTTCACAATGAGAACTTGCCAAGACAGCTGCGCATGCGCAAGAGCGTTATGTCGTCGGTCCCTGTGAGCGAGTTGTAAACAGAGCAGCATGGGTAGAAAGAACGCACGCTAACGCTTGGGTCAACTTCACTAAATGTGATGGGTAACTGGGTGATGATGAAACCAGCGACAGACAACGATCTAAGTGAGACATCCTCATCTTAGTCTGCTCCGGTAGGTAAATAAAATGTTTAAGATAATGCTACCTTGATATGTTAGCTTCCGTTTCGCTAATGGTGCGTTCGCTTTCTCCTCGGAACTCCGAATTTCCGACTAGAAGAACATGAACGCACTCTAAAGTTTGGCTTCACTTTACTAAATGCGACGGGTGATTGGGTGAAGATGAAACCAGCGACAACAATCTAAGTGTGAGGCATCATCGTTTTAATCTGCTCCAGCAGTTAAATAAACTGTTAAAGATAACGTTAGCTTGATATGTTAGCTTCCATTGCCGCCGTTGTTATCAGCTAATGGTGCGTTCGCTTTCTTCTCGGAAATTCTAACTTCCCAGTAGGAAAAATCAAATGAAAAAAGACGGCAAAAGGAATGAAGATACACAGTAAATTTAGTTCACAGTAAAGATGTTTGCTTCAGTTTAATTATCAGCTTATAAAACTACAAGGACGATGTTAAAATACAAACAGTTGAATGTTATTTATCGTGATATTTATCAAATATTGTTATATATTGAGAAAAATATATATTTAATTATAAAAGAGAATTAAAATAATAAACACTCAAAAGTATCAAAAATTGGTACCGTTAAGTACCGGTATCAATTCGTAGGTACTGGGAATTAGTACCGGGTCGATTCAAATGTCAACGGTACCCATCCCTAGTTATGGCCAAACTGCGGCTTGCACAGAAGTCCAATAACAAAACACCACTCGAGTTCAGATCAGGTGGGCCGTTCCTCCCAATCACACCCCTCCAGGTAGTGCTGTCATTGTCCACGTGAGGGTTGAAGTCCCCCAGCAGGACAATGGAGTCCCCTGGTGGAGCACTATCTAGCACTCGTCCCAGGGACTCCAAAAAGGGTGGGTACTCTGAACTGATATTTGGCCCATAAGCACAAACAACAGTCAAGACCCGTTCCCCGACCCGAAGGCTCAGGGAAGCTACCCTCTCTTCCCCCGGGGTAAACCCCAATACACAGGCAGAGAGTCTTGGGGCTAACAAAAAGCCAACCCCAGCCCTCCGCCTCTCACCCGGGGCAACTCCAGCAAAGGAGAGTGTCCAACCCCTCTCAAGGACTTGGGTTCCAGAGCCAATGCTATGTGTCGAGGTGAGTCTGACTATATCTAGCCGGTACAGCTCAACCTCTGCCACAAGCTCCTGCTCCTTCCCCGCCAGCGAGATGATGTTCCATGTCCCAGTAACCAGTTTCCTTGTCCGGGGATCGGACCGCTAAGGCTCCCGCCTCCGTCTGCCACCCAATCCACACTGCACCAGACCCTTCATGTTCCTCCTGTGGGTGGTGGGTCCACATTTGGATGAGCCCATGTATCTGGTTCGGGCCTGGCTGGGCCCTATGGGCGAAAGCCCGGCCACCAGGCGCTCGCTCACGTGCCCCAACCCCAGGCCTGGCTCCAGGGTGGGACCCCGGTAACTCCCCGGGCCGGGTACTCCGACTCTTTGTTTTTACGTCCATGAAAGATCCTCTGAACCGTTCTTTGTCTCACCCTTCACCTAAGACCAATTTGTCATGGGAGACCCTACCAGGGGCACAAAGTGCCCCAGACAACATAGCTCCTAGGATCATTAGGGCACTCAAACTCCTCCACCACAATAAGGTGACGGTTCAAGGAGGAATCAAGCTGTCAAGATGTGGCGAAACCTTTCAAAAGAGTTTGAGAGCAAAATTCTCAGTTCATTAGCACTTTAATGCCTGAAGATGAAAGGAGGTTTAAAGAGAAGCTTAAAATGTGACCACAAAATTGAAGTTATTTAAAGCCTGTCCTGAGCTCTGGAATGGTGAAAAATGTCGGTTCATTTCCCCAGTGTGTTGGCCACAAATCTGCTGGAGAGACATTCTTCCTATTTAACAAAAAGCCCTGGACCCTTCCCTCATGAAGGGTTTTCAAAAGTCTGAAGGCCTAGTTATTTTGTTTCATTGAAAGTACGGCTAATCTCTTGTGAAACAGAACATTATGTTCATGCTAACGTCTTATTTATTTATTTATTTATTGTGGAAATGATCGTGGTTTTGGTCACCTGGAACAGAACAAGGTAAAAGTTTGACTCCATGCATTTTAAAATACAACATCTTTTCTAATAAACAAATGCTTAGTCACAAGGCCCTACCACGAACAAAAGCCTAACCTGTCCGTTGCTGCAGGACTCCAGGCTTTCTTCAAAGTATCCAAGTCGCTCGAAATCATCTCTTTTGTATGTTGCGGTTCTTTACAAAGGAAATTCCAGTTTACTTTGCTAAATCCTCCTTCAAATTAAAAATCAATCAATTTAAAGGCAAAATATGTCATTTCTTGCCACACAAGTCTGTGATCCAATGCAAGAAATATAAACATTGACATCATGAATGATCCTCCTATTGGTGATGAGTCTGCACAATTCCTTAAGTCCACAATGAGCTGTTTGATACAAGACACTTTGCCTCAGTGTAGAAAAGACGTCCAGTCATTAGTGAAATAACATGAGATTATTGTCTCACATTTTGATCTGGTTTGTTTTTTTATCACCTGTCAGGATGTGTCAGCACTTCAATATAATTTGATTCACAATCACTGTTTTCACCAGAGTTCATAAACTCAGTAAAGCCTTTTTTACACTGAATGTGGTCCGGGTTCTGTACGGCATCCAAAAAGACCAAAAATCCTTGAGACCAATCAGAACATCCACACCGTCTACGGTGCAGCAAAGATCCAGATGCAGAGCTCCAGATAGGTTCCCCTATGGAGTCCATTTTTTACAGACATCACATGCAGATTGTCATAAAGTTAAACGCGTGTACACACACAGGTGCTCACATCGTGCTCTCATAAGTATGGACCTGGGCACGTTCAACACATGTCTTAAGGCTATGGTTGGCACTTAATGCACTGTGATTCATTATCATGTGATTGTTCAGTTAAACAATGTTGATTTTATATTTCTTCATCAAGTTGATGCAGTGATAGCTTGATCATGTTGTATTGTATTGTGTCCCTTTTTTTTGTTTATTTTTCTTCTCTCTTTCTGCAGGTCTAGAACCAGACTCTTGTTCACCCCCCACCCACCACCCACTCCTTTGTCTCTTCCTTTCTCTTTCACCTCTGTCTCTGTGTCTGGTCGGAATTACAAAGCATTCAAAAACAATAACAATAAAGTTTTAAGTACCAGGTGTGACATTAAAAGCAGACACTTTGATGCTCCACCTGAGAATAAATCTGTAAGGCTTGTCAACAGCATTCAGACATCAATTCTGTTTGCTTCACAGCCAGACAGGACACGGGGAAAAAATAAATAAATAAAGAAGTTAAACAAATTACACGAGTTAGACAGGAAGTGAGATGTGTTTCAATCAAGTGCAACTGGTTTATTTCAAGATTAAACCTGTGTTGCATTATTTTTGCTGGCTTCTTTTATTATTGATGATGGAGATATCAGTTCAGTGAATTGTAGTTCATGTTATTTTCACAGGTATAATTTTAAACGTATTATGTCAGAATTCTTGTGGGAGCAGATGCCGGGAGACATTCGAACACAAACCACGGCCAGTGCGAATGTCAATGTGATTATAGTCTGGCCACGAGCAGTTGAAGCTATCCAGTCATGGGGCGAAATCTACAGTTGTCTTTCAGACTGTCTCCATGTGCAATTGGTCATCACTAGGACCAATCAGAGCAACTAACAATTTGATGCCATGGCAATCAGTCAACAGGGCAGTTCGCCATTAAATAAAGGACTTAAGTACCTGTATCTGATCACGTCTCAAAGAAGTCACTTACAGGGCAAGACACTAAATTTATGAGGCCAAAGGTGGACCTGCTGAGGCTAGCGGCTAGCATGGCTGGACCAATATGCAGAGCAAAATCTTTTGTTACTGCAATGGTTGGCCTAGATTTCTAGGCTACCTCCTACCAGATTCGATGTGAAACAGGCTGTGGGAATGCTGTTTATAAACATTCTTGTTTAATGACACTAGCTGATGCTAATGGGTCCTAAATCCTAATCCCATTAGCTCTAAATTTAAAAGTGCTAATGCTTATATTTGTAGCAGTCAGGCCACTGTGCCCCCCCCCCCCCCCCCCCCCCCCCCCCGCAGTCTTTCTGCTACAGCTCAAGATTACAGGAAGGCGACTGTGTTGTCCTGATTAACACGACTCTTTGTGGCTTCCTGTCTTTGATCAGTTTAAAGGTTGTTTTAGAAAGAAACGTCCATTCCATTTGCCCAGTTGGATGTCACTTCCTTCCTTCCTCAGTCACTCTCCAGCATAAATCTGAATCTGGTGTGAGTTGTGCTTCAGTTTGTGTGGAGTGAGTAGAAAGAACGGCGTTTCTGTGAAACCGACTCAAGAGTGAGTATCACACCTCTCTTATAGATTTGACAGTTTGGATTGAGATTATGTTAAAACTCTAAATAGAAGTTGAGTGAAATTATTATTTACTTTTGCTGAAGATGCTGAAGGCAGCGGATACTCGGAGTAACTTTAGCCTGCTGGGTTTTGAAAGTTAAAACTGGCTACATTTTTTAAAAAATCTCAACACATCAGTCATTTTTCTTTTTTGTGGTAAAAAAAAACGTTGTTGACAAAAGGAAATTGACTGCTGTGTTGTGCGTGCTGCCATCAGAGTCAGAATCAGTCGAGGACTTAATGTGCTGCTCAGGCCTGTTTGCTCATGGTGGAGTCCTGCAAGTGGAATTCAACTCAGGCATGTCCCTGGCCTTGATGTTGATAAGATGTCATCCATCAGTGCTGTTGGAAAATTCCAGCTTCCTGGTGTTTAAGGTTCTTTATTTGTTGACTCGCCTGCCTGTGTGTGTGTGTGTGTGTGTGTGTGTGTGTGTGTGTGTGTGTGTGACTCTCAGCTTTAAGGGGTTGGATTGGTAGGGTCTACAAGTCTTAATCTGGGGCTTTATTTCACCATGCAGTGGTGCCCCTTACAGAATTGCTGACCAGTAGCTAAACTAGTTACCAAAGGACCCATCGGGTGTACCACCATAACATTTTCTCTGGGCCCCCTTATGAAGATGTTCTGGGGGCACCACTGTCACCATGTTACCATCTCACCATCTACGTTATCAGTCTCCCCGTCTCAAAAATGCATGTTGGGGACTTACGTCATTTTCTTTTATTTTGACGTAATAAACCTTTAAAAATGAGGTCCCTGCTGATTAAAATCAGGAGTGTTTGAGCAGAGAAACCTCCAACATCTGCAGGATGATGACCCTCAAGGTTCAGAACTGGACACCACTGCTGTAGACTAAGTTGTCAGTCAGGTGTCAGTCATACACCTGTGACTGGAACACACCTGGCAACATTTTTCAACCTGCTCTTTGTAACTGGAATTAATTTGTAACAGTTTCCAGCAGCTTTTGAGTCTGAACTCCATTTTAATATTTCTTGCTTTCAGAGTTCTTCATCCTGCCTCATCATGCCCTCTAACCATCCGTCATCTTCACATCTGATCCGAAACTCGTCGGCCATGTTGGGAGTCAGTACAACAAAAGGCACACACACAGACCCTCCCTACATCTTCACCACCTCGGCTGTTACTAATGCCAGTGCCAACGTTTTTGCCGACTTCTTTGACAACCTGCTGAATCACATTCCCTGTAAGTGACTGAATAGCAGCTTCCTCCTAACAACCCTCCACCTGTTCCCTTCAGACCGTGAAAGTTTGTCCTGCTGGTGGTGATAAGTGGAAGCACAATAATGCTCAAACACATCAGCTCTGTGTGAGAAAAAATAGTTTTTTAAGTGAAATAGCATTAATTCGAGTAAATGGTCGGAGCCCCACCCCCTCCCCTAAAACATTTTTCCTTTCAGCCATTCTGATCATGTACAAGTTACTCATTATTAATATCCTACTCATTAATAAAAGCTTCCTGAATGGCCTCTGTTCAGAAAAACTGCTTTTACAGGCAGGACTCATGAGCTAACAGCTAGCCCAGTGTAGCCAAAACCAAAGTTTATTTCTGCCATCTTAAAATGGCTCAAACATCCAAAATCACAATAACATCCATGTTTGTTAAAAGTGTCACCAGTATAAGGTATATCCATGAACTCTCATGAAACCGAAATCGTGGCAATGGACTAGCAACAACTTGTCTGCATGGATTCACATTTAAAGTGGATTTGTTGTCTTTACTAGCCTGGCAAGCCAGACGAAATAAATATATTGTTTAACGTTCCAATGCTCCATTGACGGCTCTCGTCGTGGGGCGGGTTCTATCGCTGTCTTTCAAACGATCTTCGCGTGCTACTGGACAATGAACAACGTGACGTACTCACTGCAACAGATAATGAAGCCCAAGTTCAATAGTCCAGCATCATCCCGCTCACCAAACCAATAGAGCGCATCTATTGGCCCACAAAGCCAACAGAGTGCTGTGATTGGCCCACCGCTGTGGAATAATCACAGCACTCTGTTTGAAACCCCAATAGAGAGCTGTGATTGGTCAGCCAGAATGCTGCTAGGGGCCGCGGAGGCTCCAATGGAGCGTTCCTTGACCAAACTTTGCAAAGCAAGAGTTTGTTCTAGTTCACTAGACTTGTGTCTTTACCCCATAACGCCTGAAACATGAAACAATAACAAAATACATGTTTTCTAATGTTAGCATAACAACTACATGATGTTTTATTTCATTATCTAATTCTAATTCTCTTTAGCTCCTCCACCAGGGGGCAGCAGACATGGGCTGGTTTGTGATGAAGGTACTATGTAAACAGTCACACGTTTTCTATTACATGGTTGATTTGCCTGAATTATTATAACGTTCCTGCAGGACTCGAACTCTTCAGGCACCATTTTTCTACTGGTGAGGATAAAAAGAGAACTCCATATAAATAATGCTGCTATGCAAGCTGTTGGTGTAAAAACTATTTTTAGATTTGACACATCATTTTAGGAGATCAGGGATGTTTAATACAACAACAATGCACTGCTGTCCTGGCTGCACTCACACTGGCTATTAGCTCATTAGTCCTGAGTGACATAAAAGCTATTTCTATCAACAGAGGCAGTTCAGGGATCTGGAACATTTGTCTGAGGCTAGACCAGGTACCTGTTTACCGCCTGGATCGAACCCATCTCACCCCCCTCCTTTGAAACATGCATGGTGACATCTGTTTCAGAAAACCAAACATGTTTGACTCACAGATGAAGTTCTCCCAGATTATCTTCAGCTGCTTTTGTCTGGTTCAACATCCACTCTACAGTTTTCAGGGTGTTTGGTTCAGGTTAATGTGTGTTTGCCCTTCGGGTGGTCAAGTCAAAACACACCTACACACCTGTCTGATTAGATGAATATGCTTGAAAGTACACTGAATAAAAATATAAATGCAACACTTTTGTGTTTGCACCTGAAACTTTTTCTACATACACAAAAGACCCATGACTCAAATATTGTTCTGAAATCATGTGTTAGTGAGAACTTTTCCTTTACCAAGATCATCCATCCAGGGGCGATTCTAGCATCAGAGGTTCAGGGGTGCTTAGCCTCTAGAGTGCTGCCCGTCCAGGTAAGGTTAGTTTTGTACATTTTAACACAATTTCATTGCCACATTTGTAAATTAAAAGCAAAACACTCTTTTCCACAACACAAAAAAATTAAAAACAATTAAAAAAAAAGGTTCCACAAATCACAATGTGGATTCTGCTATTTTACTAATCTAGTCCAGGTTCAAAGGCTGTGGGTCAGCAACTCCCTTCCCCAAGGGCCACTTTCCAGCATGTTTTACTGTGTTTACTGCGTCAACACACCTGGTTTTATTTAGCAGATGATTAACAACTCTGCAAAGCTTGATGAGCTGCTGATCAGGTGAATCAAGTGTGTTGGATTAGGGGAACAACTGAACCATGCTGGATACCAGCCCTCAGGGAAGGGAGTTGTTTTTGAGCTGGACCAGTTCCTACGTGCTCCAGATGCAAAACAAATAGGCCTAAATAAATAAATAAAATGCTGAAATCAATGTTTGAAGTTACACAAATGAGATAAAAGTTTCATAAATCAACACCTATGTTTTAAGGACTCATTAGTGGGAAATGAGCTAGTCCAGGTTGTTGTAGTTTTATTATAAGAGCAGATTAAAGGTGCTCAGAGGTAAAGTAAGTACATTTTATTCATATAACACTTATCACAGACAGAGAATCACAAAGTGCTTCACATGGATAAAAAAAAACAAATCAGAAAGTCGTAAAATTCAAATGGTCTTAAAACAGAAATAAAATCAGAAAAATAAAGTCATAAAATACCATAAAACAAATGAAAGATGATTACAAATTTGAGTTGAAAATAACTAAATAAAAGATCTAGACAATCGTGCGAAAAATGATTGAGTAAATCAATCAGAAGCGGGCCCTAGAAACGGCCAAAACGGGGTCAACATCACCACTTCAAACCAAAATGTCCGACTTCCTGTTTGATGTTTACCATGGTTGCAAGAGGCTTTTCTGTGCGGACTGTTGAGTACTACAAGTGTACTTAATTTCATAACAGTACGATAAACTAAGGTTTAGGGAGGGGGTATTTATCACATTCTAGAGAGCACTGTGTAGCTAGTTATATTGCGATTTTTTTTGGGACCTTTAAAATACAAAATTTTACACCACGCCTGACATGTGTGCAAAAATTCCTGAGTTTTCGGGTATGTTAAGGCCTCCAAAAAGCCAATTTACTTGGCAGAAGAAAAATAAACAGATCAAAAACAAGAGGCCTTCGCAGTGCTTTCGCTGCTCGGGTCTAGTAAAGTTTTAAGTATCAGAGAGTAAATCTGTAAGGCTTGTCACCAGCATTCAGACATCAATTCTGTTTGGGGGGGGGGGGGGTGGGGGTGATTTATATATGAAATGGAAAACTGTCAGCAGCAAGGGACAGTGTTTCAATTTGTGGGTAATCTGGCCTCCTATATACGGTGGCCCTGAATTGCAAACCACACCAAATCACTAAACACAACAACAAATTGAGAAACACAAACACCAAAGAAAAATCACAAAAACAAATTGAGAAACACATTAAGAAACCAGAAAGGGTAGGTACCAGTTGGCAACAGGAGACATCACTGATTGAACAGTTGCGCTGTTTATCAAACAAGCTAATGCTAGCAAAAATCAGGCAGGAATATTTTTAGGATCTGCAGCAGCTTTACCTCGATCACCAGTTTGTTCACAACCGTTCCAGGTAACATCATTTTGTTTAGTCTACAAGCTTTCAGATCTTATATGTTAACTTTAGTTTCATGTATGTTTTAAGCTACAGAATGAACGGTACACACACACACACACACACACACACACACACACACACACGCTAGTCTAGCATTCGTTGTGAGGACGTCATTGATTTCCATTCATTTTAGTGACTGGACTGTGCCTAACTCTAGGTTCAGGTTTATTTATTTATAAAGTGCCTTCATATGGCCCGTCTGACAAAGTGCTGAGCACAAGAAATTACCACAGTTTGACATAAGAAACCATCATAAATAATCTAAATAAAAACATATCAAATCTAATCAAATCAGGTTTATTTTCATTATGTTCATAACAGAGTATAAACACAATGAAAAAGCGTTTCTCCATTGAGATCCGTCTGAGTCACACGCTCAATACATGCACAACTCTGCTAAATTTAGAAAACAATTTCTCAAATGGTATTAAACTATAATAAACAAGATAAAAAGCTTCCGGTAAATGAAACTCATACACTTGCACCCACCCACACACACACACGCATGCACACACACAGACAATCACACCTACCCACACACACCCCTCCATGCATGTACGCGTGCGATTCACACTGGACCTTGCAGGATTTTTTAAAGTGCTGGTATCTCCTGCTCACAGTCCAGTTGTATTTAGCAGCCGTACAGCCTGAGGCAGAAAGCTGTTCAGTAGCCTCGTAGTGGAGCATCTTATGTTTCAATAACGCTTCCGGGAGGGTAAAAGCTGAAAGAAATAGTTCAGGAGATGTGTGAGGTCCTTCACAATGTTCAGGGCCCTGCCTCTGCAGTGGCTCAGGAACAGATCCTGGGCAGAGGGGAGGGAGATTCCCATAACCCTTTCTGCTGATCTCGCCACTCTCTGGAGGGCCTTTTTGTCCGTCATGTTGCAGCTGGAGAACCAAGCTGAGATTGCATAGGTCAGCAAACTCTCCACTGCCCCCTGGAAAATAAGGTCAGGATAGTGGTGTGAAGTGAGGCCTGTTTAAACTTCCTTAGGAAGTACAGTCTCTGATTAGCTTGTTTTACTAGACCTGAGGAGTTCTTTGCCCAGCTGAGGTTGTCAGAGATCTGTATGCCCAGAAACTTGATGTTCTCCACTCTTTCGACTTTGCATTAATTTATGTAGAGGGGACTGTGCTTTGTTTGGGATTTCTGAATATCAACAATAATTTGTTATTGCGTCTTAATGGGAGATAGACTTGACAATCATCCGCATATACTGTAGATGAAACTTGACATTGTGCTTATGGAAGACGTCGCCCAGTGGCAGCAGATGGAGGGAGAAGATGAGGGGGGCCAGAATGAAACCCTGGGGTATTCCCCACTCTAACCATAACCACTGTATTCATAACCCTAGACTTTTTATCATTCTGAATTTGTCTTTGTGATTCTCAATATGTTGTTGTGGTTCGCACTTGAGGGCTACCGTACCTATAACTACAGCATATCAGCCACTCAGGAGGAAGTGAGGCCTGTTTAAAGAGGCCCAGAGCCCGATTCTGGGAAAGGTGAACAGGATCAAACCACTTTTGAGGCGGGGGAAGTTTGCTGCATATTTAAACCCAGCACTGTATGCTTTTCATATTTTACAAGTGTCGTTAAAAGTCATATAATAAAACCAAACGTTTTCAATTCTCCAATTTTTGGGGTGCTGGGAGTTAAATGGGCTATTTAATTATCTAATTATTTATCCATCTCACCTCATAGGTGTGGCAGGTGTAGACAGATTTCAGACCACTATTTGAGAGTCATGGGTGTTTTGTGCATGTAGAAAAAATTTCAGATGGTTGAGTTCAGCTTGTGAAAAATGGGAGCAAAAACAAAAGTGTTGCACTTATATTTTTATTCGGTGTAGTTCTTCATGAGTCCAACAGACTCATGGTCCTACTGACCTTACTTTCTCCTGTCCTACAGTGCCACGATGGGCAATATTTGTCATCCTCGCAGCCGGCGGCCTGCTGATTTTGCTCTGTTGTCTGTGCATCTGCATCAAGTGCTGCTGCAGAGGGAAAAAGAAGAAACGACAGCGAGAAGAACTGATCAGTTTGAAAGGGGTGGATGGGAAAACCATCACAACTCTGGTAGGACAACAGTAGGTGCAAGTCCAATGTGTCCCAGCTGGGTTTGAAGCTGGAATAGGGCACTTTCCCACCCATCTCTTCTATGGGGTGTGTCTCTGATGATTTGTACAGCGTTGTATAAAATGCAAACACACTATGTCAGTTTAACCTGTGCATCACTTTAAAAACATTGTTAAAGTGCCGAGCAGCAAACAGAACTGAAAGCTGTCAGAAAGGATGGATCAAAGCTCTTACACAAGGAATCACAACAGCCACAGTGTTTTCTGATTAAAGTTCTTCCTATTGGTTCAAAAGCTGATGTGCTTGTAGTTGTAGCACCCAAACATGTTTGGGACGGGTTTTTATTAGAATGGACTTTTCAGACGACCTATCTCCATGTGCTCTCTACAGGTTCAGCCAGATGTGGGAGACGTGGACTACGGCGTGATCAAACACTACCGAGGAAAGCTGCTTTACTCTCTGGATTACAATGCCACGTTGTCTGAGGTAGTGAAAGTTCACACTACAGCCTTTTCTAATGCTGATAGACTAACTTGTCCACATTCATAAACAGATGAATTATTTCTAGTCAGTCAACACTAGGCCACTTGTAATGCCCCTTGTCAATACAACTTTTTAAATTTTCCTCATCGGTCAGATCATATGTTGTGTTTCTGCCTTGACAGCTCACAGTAGGGATCAAACAAGCAAACAGCTTGAAGGCCATGGACCTGGGAGGCAGCTCTGACCCGTATGTCAAAGTCTACATCCTCCCTGAGAAGTCCAAAACCTATGAGACCAAAGTTTTCAAAAACACTCTGAACCCTGTTTTCAACGAGCTTTTCACATTCCAGGTAACTATTATACAGCTGTTTGGATAACTTTTAAAAGTTTGACAGTATTGGTTGGTACCCGGGAACCTAAAAGACCCTGTGATGAGAACTTACAACGCTGGAACAAAGTTAACACCTTTTTACGCTGCAGTTCTTGTCATGTTGTGGAGGTGAGTGAGAGCACACTGAAGGAAGCCGTAGGAGCAAAAACATAAAAGGTCTTTAATTCAGGGCTCAGAAGACCACTGGAGGACATGAACAGGGTTCAACAACAGAGGTTAGACAACAGACGATCCGACAACCAACACAAAAGCAAACAAGGTTTAAATATACGAGGAGCAGGTAATCAGGTAGCGAGACGCAGGTGCAAACAATGAACTAATCAGACACATGAAACACAGGAGCAGGACACAGGAGCAGGGAACGGATCGTGACAGTTCTTTGGTAATGACCTATTAAGATGAAAGGTCCATCCATCCATCCATTTTCCTCAGCTTATCTGGGGTTGGTTTGCAGGGGTAGCAGCCTAAACAGAAAGGCCTGGACATCTTTTGGTCACTGCGATGATGAGTGTGATCCCCCGTAGTTGGAACACACCCTGAAATCCCCCTTTTTAAATAGGGGGACCCGGTCTACCAATCCAGATGAAAGATCTATTTTTTATTAAAAAAATATTTTCCATTTGATTCTATTGATACGGAGAACTGTTGTTTTCGACTGCTTTTCCCCCAGCTATCCAAATCCACCCTTCTGAAGTCAACAGCAGTGATGAAGGTGTTCGACTTCAACCGCTTCACCAAACATGAAATCATTGGTGAGCTACGGGTGCAGCTCTGCAATGTTGATTGGAACCATGTCATTGAAGAGTGGCAGGACCTGACTGAACCCACCAAGTTCGAGGTTTTTGATCTCTTCTTTTTACATTTCTTGTCACATTGGTGTAATTAGAGAAAAAGTCAAAGGTGAAGTTAGCAGTCTAACTTTTATAAACCAAGGGTATGTTGAACTTTCTGGACATGAGACTTAAGGGCAATTTTCCAAACATGAAAGCTTAGACTAGACTGGGGGTGGGCAATTTTGTTCCTCGAGCGCCACTATCCAGCATGTTTTAGTTTTACCCAGCTTCAGAAATATGTCAATTAGAAGCTCATAAACAGGTTTAGACAGAGCTTAACGAGCTGCTGAAAAGGTAAATTAAGTGTATCGGAGCAGGGAAACAACAAAAAAATAAAATAAAAAAAGCTGGATGGATGGTTCCTTAAGTATCAGAGTTGCCTAGCCATGGACTAGACTACTGGCTGTTTAACACAAATGAAAAAATATTGCAACTAGCACTGCTGCAAGCCATCGCTGCAAGGCAAAAGGACAGGACACAGTTGCCTGATTGTCACTTTTTATTTTACTGCATAACATTTACAACATTTGACCCTAATGACAGTAAACGGTGAGTTTTGGGGCCACTGGTTCTTGTCCTTGTGCCTTGCAGTGACAGCTTACAGCAATGGTTTGTCACTATAATAATAATAATAATAATAATAATAATAATAATAATAATAACAACAACAACAATAACACATTTATTTCAAGCGTCTTTCAAACACTCACGGTCACTGTACAATTAAAATTCATAGTAAAAACAACAATAAGACACAACAAAACCAAAAAATTTAAACAACTATCATAAAATAACCAGAATACAACAACCAAAAGTAATGAAGATCCAGTAAAACTGCACAAAAAAGACCTGATGAAACTATTAAATTAACAACTATAATAAAACAACTAAAATAAAACAACTGGAAAACACAGGAGTCCTTACACAGAGTAGCCCATTTTAAATGAATGTGTTTAAAGCCTGTATTTAAAGAGCGGGAAAGACGGTGTGTTTCTTAGTTCACCCAGGCGAGAGTTGCATAGGGAAGGGGCAGATCTGCTGAAGGTGAGTTTCCCCATGGTGGTATGTTGAGAAGGAGGAATGTGAGAGGGTACAGAGTTTTGGATGAGTTGAGAGATATAGGGAGTGCGGTTGTGCACAGCCTTGAATGTAAACAGAAGAAGTTTGTCAATAATCTTGAATTTTATTGGTAACCAGTGTAGTTGCTGTATGACAGAAGTAATGTGAGCAGTAAGGGGAGTTCTTGAAATAGTACGAGCCGCAGCATTCTGTACTAGCATTTTCTGTGGAAGGCCAAAATGAAGTGCATTACAGCAGTCCAATCGAGCCGTGACCAAACCGTTTACCAAGATGGCAGCATCATGCCCAGAAAGAGGGACGTAGACGGTTTATATTACGGAGATGAAAATAGGTTGTCCCACGTCTAAATCGTCTCTTGTTGCTTATTTTAATTTGCAGTCGATGTGATTATTGAGTTCACCAAGAAAAATTAGGATCATTATTGAGCAATTTTCTTGACTTATTCAGACACAAAATGCTAGCTGTTACCACTCACTTACACTGCTGATATACAGCTAAAGCAAATGGAGTTCTGCCAGATCATGAGACTGACTGGGGTGGTAACGAAATGCGTTTTCTGACTTTTCTAACTCTGGAGAATATGGCAACAGAATAAAATTTCATCTAAGGGTGGAATATCCCTTTAAGTGTAAACTATTTGTAAGCTTAAGTCTAGTTCTAAGCTGAACTGGGGATTAAATTCACCCAGGCATTTACAGTAGATGTTATTTCCATGTAATAGGTGCCCTGTTTTCCTAAAGTCCCAAAAACATGCACCTTTTGATCTTCTTCTTCTTCGGCTCAATCCCAGTACTCCCAATTCCAGCCTTCAATTGCATGGTGCTGTCCAGGAGTGCAAGTGTGTAGGGTGTCCCGATCCTCAAGTGTGGAATTTCTTCATGCCCCTTTTGCACCCTCGATTTGCACTTTCCCTTAGCCTGCATTGATGCAGACTTGGGGAAAGGGTATTACCCAAAATCCATTGCTGCATGGGAATTTTGAGAAGAAGGTGGAACAATGACTGAAGTGCTTTATCAGAAAATATGTATTTTCAAATGAAAACATCACTCTTATTCTGACATCTCTGCACTGGTTACCTGTTAACTTTAGAGTTCATTTTAGAATCCTGACTATAATTTTAGGGCTCTGCACGGGCACGCTCCTCACTATACTACTGAACTTTAAAGCCTTATTCTCCAACCCGAGCCCTCAGATCCACCCACCAGAACTTTCTAGAAGAAAGAAGTAGCACAAACAGCGGCAGGCATCCTGGCATGCGTTGTAGTCAACAATGTAACGGTCATTGTCCCAATTTGGCAATTATTTGCACATGTGTACTACACACTTAACTTACGTACTGCTCCTTACTGTGCACTTCCTCCAAGTGCACTTTGTTGAAGACCGCAGGGCACAGTTCGAGTATTGGGATTTGGCTGCCTTCTTCTTCTTCTCAGGTTGTTAGTGCATATATGGTAATTGCATTTTGTTTTCCCCAGAAAGCCCACAAGGCTTGTCTTCTTAGCGTACAAGGTGGTATCCAATTTTAGAGCGATGAATTCATTCAGTGGTGATTACTTCCCTTCCCCATGAACGACTTCAGCAGCTTCACAACATTTTCCCCCACCAGCTGACCTTTACACCACATTTCCCAATTTTCCAGATATGGAACTTGTATGTTAGCAAGTATTTTGGCTTGGCATCTGCTGCATGCCAAAATCTAACATGTTTTGATCAAATTTGCACCTGGCCTTGGTGTGGAAAGCTGCTTATAAGTGGTGATGTTGGCCCTGGACTTGTAGCAGGAGACAGTTTTCAACAAACTTGTTTTATGCAGCTGATATCAGCGTGAACCTGCCATCCACCAGTCATGGACGCCGGATTTCCTTCTAATTGAAACAGATAAATCTCATCGTCTCTTTGAACCACTTTCTGGATCTTGTTTCCTTGAAAAATTAGAAGCCCCATTTTTCCAACCAGACACTGCCCAAGTTCAAAGGCCAATGAGGGTCTTCAGTGCAGTCCTTGTCACAACCCTTGAGATGTCACCATAATGTCAGTTCACCTCAGCCATACTGAAGTCCCTGGTCTGCTGTAGCATACCTGGGTCAATGATGCATATAAAAGCCATGAGGACACCATCAATATTGTGATGTTTGTATGGTGTAGGGCTCGTCTTTGGGCAAGACACTTCACCAACCTTGTCTATGTTTAAACCTCAGGCTTCACCACAGTATTTACTATACACTTTAGGGGACAAAAACGCCCCTAATGAAGCCTGAGGGTTAAGTGTTTGGTGCGGGTCAAAGGGGGCTGATGGTTATAGTGCAGTTCACCACCACCAGAGTATGAGTGAGTGGGTATATAAGAATGAATAATGCATTGTTTTGAAAAACACTATATAAAACTAACCCTTTATCATCATAAATAATCATTTTTGGTAGAAAAACTATGAATTAGAAGAGTTGAAAACACTGATTGTTAGTTTAGTGAAAGATTGTCTGTTGCAGGAGGAAAACCTGGGGGAAGTCTGCTTTTCTCTGCGTTACGTTCCAACTGCCAGCAAACTTACTGTCGTAATTCTGGAGGCAAAAAACCTGAAGAGCATGGACTATGGAGGAAGCTCAGGTAAGAACGACAAAGGACCTAAGATAACTTAATGAAATCAGTTCATTCATTGTTTTTTCTTCAAAATAATTGTGCAATTTGTTTGATCTGCTCGTGTTTAAAGGTGCGGAACACTCATTTAATCAATATATCTGCAGTGCATCTCTAGTAAAGATTAATGCCTTGTAAGTTGCACTATGAGGCAAAAAAAGCCCCGATCCACCATTTTCAGGAAAGTGGGCCAGATCAGAGTACAGTAGAGCTTTAGACGGCTTTGGAGTTTTATTTTCTGATATTTGGACATCTGGCGTCTGATTGGTTAACAGCAACGCAACTCTTTTACTGACTCCGTTTAATATTTTGTCTTCACAAATAACACAAGCCTGAAGAAGTTGTGCTGTATGGTGGATTTGCTAACGCTAACAGTTAGCTTCAACTAGCCGAGACAGTCTCTGCTGTTCCCTGGACACTAAACCAAACACAACCTTCCCTGTCGTGAGTCAAGATGGGTGAGTCCGTGAATGTTAAGTGACAGTGTGATGTAGATCTGTCAGGCTAATCCTCGAGTTTCACCGTCTATTGTCTATCAGAAGCTAATGCAGGAGATAGGTGTAGGAGACTATTTTCATGTTCAGCCTGTATAAAAAACTCTGCGTAACCCATTTGAATTGGAAATGAGATTTAAAAAATGTTTTTTCAGTGTTCCACACTTTTAAGGAGCAGTGCTGAACATTGACAATGAGCAGTAACCCCATAATATAAAGCATGAGTTATACAGGAAGTTAATAAGTATACGATTGACTGTTTAGCAGGATCTGTGTCAAAAAATAAAACTAAAAAATGCAAAAAAAAAAAAGAATGACCTCAGTGAAATGAATATGTTAATTGGATTTATGAATCTGACCTAAGCTACAGAAGTGTTTGGTGCAGTTTGTTTCACACAAACTGGACACATTGAACCGCCACCTAGCAGTGGATGATTGAATAAATGATTCACGAGTGACCTGAGGACCTTGCCTCTGCTTTTGTGGATAATGTGGTCCTCTTGGCTTCACCCAACAATGACCGTCAGCTGTTGCTGGGGAAGTTCACAGCTGAGTGGTATGATGCTGGCATGAGAATCCTTATCTTCAAAGCTGAAGTTGTGCTTCTCAATCAGAAAAGAGTGGACCACCAACTCTGGTTCAGGGAAGAGGTCCTAATTCAAGTAAACATGAAATGAAAATTAAATGAAAAGCTTTATTTGTCCCAGGGAAGGGAAATTAGAGTTTCAGTACACACAATTCAAAGATCAGACATACTGGGCAAGACACATGACAAGAATTGGTGACTGTGGTCATTCGCAACTGAGTCGCGCTACCGTAATAGAGAGAGAAAAGGATAACATGAGGAATGGATTCGGGAGGAGGGGAAAAAAGGCACTTCACAGCTACTCCCCCCAGGAGGGCAGCTTTGCTCTGCAAAAAAAAAAAAAACACCTCAACAGATAAGCAACAGATAACACAACACAACATCACAATAGGAAGGCAGGGGGGCTGGGATCCTGTTTCCCCCAGCAAGAGCAGCCACAGGTGGGAGGGAGATCTTGGGAGGAACGCAGAGCACATTGACCCTGCAGGTTGATGACCTCGCTAGGCAGAAGTCCACAATCTGAAGGCGGGGTTTTCACAGCATCTGTCTGCATTCCTTCCTTGGTGGGAGTTGTTGTTTTTGGCATCTCGAAGGCTGCCTTGGTGTCAGATTGGGGTAACGACTTTTTTTGGGTCAGGCAGAGATAATTTTCCTCTCTGCCTTCAGTCTGTAACTGGTCATTCCAGTCCTTCAGTGAAGCCAATTTAGGTATCTCATAGGTTAGGTATGTCATAAAGACAATGTAAAGAATTTGCCACCAACTGATGCTGTCATTCTCTTCCACTTGCTCTGACTAGATCCATTTGTGAAGGTGCAGCTGGCGCTGGACAAGAGGAAGTGGAAGAAAAGAAAGACGTCAATTAAAAAGAAAACTTTAAACCCCTATTTTAACGAGTCCTTCAGCTTTGATGTGACATTCGATCAAATACAGGTGAGTGTGAAAGTTCCTATTTCTGTTTGTGTGGACCTTTAGGTCTGCTTTATGGCAAAAAAAAAACCATCAGGCATCAATATTTTTGTACCATCTTGATAAAACTGCCAAAGGCTTCATGTAAGGATGCTACTGCTAAACTACAGCTTTTAGCTCTTACACCTGGAAAACAATGGGTCCCAAGATGGGTTGTGTGGCATTGCCATCATCGGTAGGCAAAGATCCCCTCTCCTCTTTTTAGGAAATGGAAATATGGTCACCCTACATTAAATTATAGAATTCCTAAAATAAACACTGTTTTTAAACACCACCAGAAGAAACGCAGAACCTTAGTGAATATACAGCCAACTGTGTGTGTGTGTGTGTGTGTGTGCGTGCGTGCGTGTGTGCGCGTGCGTGCGTGTAACAAGAAAATCAAAATCAAAACAGAACCAGAAAAGAAACTATGACAAAAGACATTGTGATGACACGTACGCCGACCAAGGTCGCGTCTGGATACCCATGCATCATTTATCAAAAGGAGATAAATCATTCACAGCAAAACTTGCACCTCAATGGAAAGGACCATATCGAGTCATCAAAGAGACTGGACCTGTAAATTATGAAATCGTACTGGAAGATACTGGAGAAGACCATAGAATAATCCACGTATCACAAATGAAACCTTGTTATCCTACAGCAAGAGAATGGGACAGGCTGCAGAAACAAAAACTCATGAGGATTTTTCAAGAAGACAGTGATGAGGAAGATTTCACTGGATCCCATTGATCAAAAATCTTAATGAAAAAAAACAAACAAACAAAACAATCAAAATGTACACAGACATGGTATTTTGAATTTTCCACCTACCATGCTGGTATTGATAGGGGGGGGGGGGGGGGGGATGTAACAAATCTGCAATTGTCATGACAACGCAGAGCTAAGCACTCCACCACTCCTCTCACCTTCACTTTCTTGATCATGAATCCGCGGCACCTGTGCGCACTCGGCTGCCGCACCCTAAAAGGAAAAAAAAAAAAAGAAAGTGCCTTCAAGTTCCACTGACTTATTTTCTTCTCCTGTGAACAGAGTGGTGTGAACACAGACGCACGTAGTGATTTCTACCAAGTAAAAAGGCTGCTTTTCTAACCAGAGGCTGTTAATCCCTAAAGGATTTGAGACAGACAGATATGGAAGACGGAAGAAACGCTCAACAAACAAGTTTAAAAGTTCGCTATTCTCAACAGTGATTTCATCGTCTGGACGCACTATATTCACTGCAACTTGACAACTGATGGGTTGCTTAACGTCACCGGATTGCCAATTGAAGAGATTCTTCCGTCACGCAAACGATCTACTAAAACTGAGGACGTGTTTTTCAAACTGCTCATCACTCTGATTTGTTAAACGACCCCTGTCAACTTTTTCAATATGAGAGTAAAATTCTGCACTCACCTGAAAGCACCGCTTCTCCTTTATGGACGAAGACAGCTCAATAAACTGAATCTGCCTGAGTGTTCGCGGCTCCCGTGTCAGGGGGTTTAAGATTTTTGGAGTCTGTCTGATTGATCCCGGTGGCTGCCTGGTAGGATCTGGGTCCCTGGGCTCTGTTGGATCCCCAGCAGGGCTGGTCGCCCCTGGGTCCCAAGTCGTTGGGCTCCGGGCCCAGCCGGCTTGGGGATGGGAGGCTGCGGGTGGGCCTGTGGGCTTGACGCTGATATCTCCTGGGACTCTGCCGGCTGCTGTTTGTGACCCCCCAGGGCAATCCTCTGCTCCTCTCTAGAGGGAGCTGGGGCTTTTCTGGTTACAGTCTCCCTGGGGTCCCTGTGCTCTGGGACAGCTCCTGGATCTCTGGCACTTGGAGCTCCTTCCGTCTCCTGCTCATCTTTGGGGGGCAGATATGTGGCCCCTCACACTATCTATTGGACGCTCCTATAGAGAAACCTTACATAAACAAGCGCGTGTACACACACAGGTGCTCTCATGGTGCTCTCATAAGTATGGACTTGGGCATTTTCAACACATGTCTTAAGGCTGTGGTTGGCACTAAATGCACTGTGATTTATTAACGTGTGATTTTTCGGTAAAACAAAGTTAATTTTATATTTCCTCATCAGGTTGACGCAGTGATAGCTTGCTCCTGTTGTATTGTTGTGTGTTGTTTTTCTCTTTCTGCAGGTCTAGAAGCAGTCTCTTGTTCATCATTGATTGCTTATTTTTGTGGACCCCCCCCCCCTTCCTTTTGTCTCTTCCTTTCTCTTTCACCTCTGTCTCTTTATCTGGTCAGAATTAAAAAGCATTCAAAAACAATAACAATAGTTTTAAGTATCAGGTGTGACATTAAAGCCGCAGCTTTGATGCTCCACCTGAGAGTAAATCTGTAAGGCTTGTTACCAGCATTCAGACATCAATTCTGTTTGCTTCACATCCAGACAGGACATGGGGATAAAAATAAAAATAAAATAAAATAAAATAAATACAGGTTCACCATGCAAAAGCCCAAACAAGACTTTACCATGGACAATGTGCTGGGGTTTTGTTGTATCAGATACATGCAAATCAAACCCTTTTGAAGCACATTAAAGAACAGTTAAAATAATTTAATTGAATCTTTGATTATTAATATTTTAGAACTTTGAGAAAAAATGTCAGAACTCCAACATTAGATCTGACTTTTTTCAGAGATTATAGTCAATGATCTCTTTTTGCCTTCTCCCTAATTATCTACTATAAAAGGTCATTTTTGAATAAACTTCTTTTTTTCCATTTGGTATTAAAAATAAGGAGAAAATAATGTTTGCAAAAAGAGAATGGATTTTTTTTTTTACTTTTAGCGGTAATTCCAGTCAATGTTCCACTCCGTCAGCATCTTTAATCTGCTCGTATAATAAAACTACCTGGACTAGCTCATTTCACACTAACGGCAGAGTCCTTAAAACATAGCTTGTGGAACGTTTATCTGATCTGTGAAAGTTAAAGGGATCACTGACCTAGAGCCTTTGCACCTGGACTAGATTATTCTAATAGCTGAATCTGTAAAGCACTGTTTGTGATTTGTGAAACAGTTAAATCTGACTGTCCTGTTTTTTGATTTATGGAAAATAGTGTTTTGCATTCATTTTATATATGTGGCAATGTAATTGTGTTAACCCTCTGCAGGCAGGCGTTGCAGATTAGCAACGTTTAAACCGACCTACCTGGTTACTCCACATACGTGTTTCATGAGCATTTTTTAAGTCAGAAGTACCCTGAAGGATTTAGCTGTTCATCTTTTTATCAACACTTATTTTGAGCCTGAGAGGGTTCAAATGTAGAAAAATTAAACTAATCCTGCTTGAACTGGCAACCGTGTGGGTGCTCAGCACCCCCAAACCTCAGATGCTAGAATCGTCCCTGCCCTACTGTAACAGCTGATACGCCTCCCCAGCCTTCCTTAGTGTTTACAGGAGAGATTCATCACTAAATTAAACAAATCAACCATGTTCATGATCTAAAACATGTAGGAAATGTGCTGCAACCAGACTGCAGCGCCAAGTACGACAGCTCTTTTTTTTTCAAGTCCCAATGGACCGGACCAGCAAGTCTGAAGTTGCAAGTGGAATATTCTGGCGACGGGGTGACAGGAGCTAGGCGGCCTTCGGAAAACCCTGCAAAGGGTTATTTTAGCACATACTGGCTCAAGAAAATGATTTAAAAAATAAAAAAATTGCAGGGTATTCTTTTAAGTATCTCCAGGTCTTATTCACAAGTGAAGGAAAGATGGATTGCGAGATTAATAGACAGATTGGTGCTGCATCTGCAGTGATGCGGGCGTTGTTCCAGCGTCTGTCCCAGATCTGCTCGGGTGCCAGAGCAGCTCAGGGACCTGTGCCTGCTGATGACGTCACACCACATGAAGGGCTGATGGCAGGACTTACAAAAGTTACTTTAGCATGTAACATAGGGTGAGAAGCTCGGTCATCCAGGAGGGGCTTGGAGTAGACCCGCTGCTCCTCCACATTGAGAGGAGCCAGTTGTGGTGGCTCGGGTAGTTGGGATGCCTCCTGCATGCCACCCTGGTGAGGTTTTCTGGGCACGTCCAACTGGGAGGAGACCCAAGGGAAGACCCAGGATGCGCTCAAGACTATGTCTCTCACCTGGCCAGGGAACGCCTTAGGAGTCCCCCAGAGGAGCTGGCCCAAGTGGCTGGGGAGAGGTAAGTCTGGGCCTCCCTGCTTAGACTACTGCCCCAAGAACCGACCCTGGATAAGCGGAAAGATTGGATGGATTCATGTTTTATTAGCCTGGATGTTCAGTAGCTTGTGGAGGAATGATGATGATGATACACAGTCTATATAAAAGTATTATTCATTTCAGCAATATCTGTGTGTATTTACACTACCTTTACACTACCCAGACTTCATATCTCAGACCAAATGTGATGAGTTTGCATCCTACAATGAAAAAATCACAAGCATTAGATTAGCCATTCATTCCTCTAAATCAGCTAACACAACCAGACCATCGACACAGCCACACAGCAACAACCTGGCCAGAATGCCAACTTTCACCCTGATTAGTACTAAAACACTGAATGACATAGTAAAGACCCTAAATTCCTCTACCTGTTGTCTGGACAGCCTGCCTACAAACTTATTTTAAAATGTTTTTAGTTGCCTAAAAGCAGATGCACTGGAAATTGTTAATTGCTCTTTAATGTCAGGATTTTTTCCTAGGAAAAATCATTGAAAAGGCAGCAATGATCCAAACAAACAATTATTTAGAGTCAAATAACATTATGGACAGTCTTCAGTCGGGCTTTAGACAGCACCACAGCACCAAGAAATCAAACTTCCTTCAGCTAAACAAAGACAAGACTGAAGTTACTGTCTTTGACACCAAGAGGGATAGAATGGATGTTATTGCTCAGCTGGACTCCAGGGGAATAAAGACAAAGACCCAGGTTAGAAGTCTTGGTGTTGTCATCGACTCCGACCTGGACTTCTCTGGACATGTTAAGGCTTTAACTAAATCAGCGTTTTATCACCTTCATCAAATATCAAGAGTCAGAGGTCTCGTGTCCAGACCAGACTTACAGAAACTCATTCATGTGTTCATCTTCAGCAGGCTGGACTACTGCAATGGTCTCCTAACTGGTCTTACCAAAAAGCTGTGAAGCAACTGCAGCTTGTTCAGAATGCTGCTGCTAGAGTCTTAACAAGAACTAGGAGAACGGAGCACATCACTCCTGTTCTTAGATCTCTACACTGGTTACCAGTAAACTACAGAATAGATTTCAAAGTGATCCTACTAGTTTATAAATCACTCAATGGCATGGGACCAAAATACACGTCCGATCTCATTCCTGTTTTAACACCCAACAGGGCTCTGAGAACCTTAGGTAACAATCAGCTGGTAGAACCTCGGGTCAGAACCAAACATGGTGGAGATGCATTTAGTTACTCTGCTGCTCACATATGGAATCAGCTTCCCCATGACCTCAGATCTGCTCCAGCCCTAGTGTAGTTTAAAACTAAAAACCCTCATGTACTCATCAGCCTTTACATGAATTGTTTCTTATCATGCGTCGTCTCCTCTGTAATCTGCACTGTAACTTTGTCTTCTCCCGTAGCTCTAATCTGTAATTCCATTGGTGTGTATTTTAATTTGTGTTTTTATGTGTTTTCATATCATGTCCTGATAATTGTAAAGCACACTGAATTGCCTCTGTGTTTGAAATGTGCTCTAGAAATAAAGCTGCCTTGCCTTTATAGATAATGATAGAAAACTTTCAATAACAACCAGTGTTGTTTGATTTAACCCTGGATTTTCCCACAAAGTTCTCTAAATGTGGTTTTGTTTATTGTCAGAGGGTGAACCTGGTAATCTCAGTGTGGGATCACGACGCCATGACCAGGAATGATGCCATGGGGAAGATTTTTTTGGGCTGCGATGCCACAGGGAATCAACTGAGGCACTGGGCTGACATGTTGTCCAACCCACGGCGGCCGGTGGCTCAGTGGCACAGCCTGTTATCAGCCGAGCAAGTCAACTCTACGCTGGCCCTGAAGAAGAAGATCCCCATCCCCAGCAAGCTGAAGGAAAACCCACTGTTTGATAAACATTTTAAATAGAGTTAAAAGTGAACAATGTTTGTATAAAGCTGATTTTATATACATATTTTATATCCATCTGACCTCCCTAGGGCGGCTGTGGCTACATAGTAGCTTACCATCACCGGCAGTGTGTGAATGTGTACGAATAATGGAAAGCACTTTGGGTTTCTTAAACAGCGCTATATAAATCCAAACCATTATTATTATTATTATTATTATTATTATTATTATTATTATATAACATAATTATAATAATTTAATGTGATATTAGAGAACTTAAAGGGATATTCAACATGTTTCCCGGAGTTAAATAAGGGAAAATTTTTTTTTTAACCAGCCCAGTCATGCTCCTGACCTGGCTGTACTCCTTTAGCTTTAGCTTAGCATAAAACACAGTAAGTGAATGGGTCCAACTAGCATTGTGAGTAAAAATGTGTTTAAAATCATTCGGTAGTGATCCCATTTCTGCCTGGTGACCGAAATAATTAGACTGACTGCAAGAGAAAATAATTAGTAACATAAAGAAATCACAGGCACCATTTTAGGTTTGGGACTACTTTATGACAAAGCACAGCTGTAAGCCTCCACTTAAAGGTGCAAGGCAGCCCCAAAGGCTCCTGCTTCTGTAGACACAGATGCACACATTATCAAACTGGCAAAAGATACACATACACACACTTATCACACACACACACGCATAATGACAACAAGAGAAAAAATAAGCACAATCGCATTTGCGCAGGAGAGATTGGAGCTTGTGTGTGTGTGTGTGTGTGTGTGTGTGTGTGTGTATAGCATGAAAGTTTTTTTATCTGGCAGAGATGCAGAATTAATTTTAATAATGCACAGAATTGCTGCACCGAGCTGAATCTGTGCAGCCCTCTGCAGGAATGGAGATCTCAAAGCTTTACCAACCTGGACCTGCTCCTCCTCTGGTAATCCAAAATAAATAGCTTTGAATGACCCCCAGCCTTCCTTAGTGTCTACAGGAGTGATTCATGATAAAACTAAACAAATCAGCTGTGTTTATGACCTAAAACATGCAGGCAATATGCTGGAAGCAGACTGCAGCGCCAGATATGTCAGCTTAATTTCCTAACAGATAGGACTGGCAATTCTGAAGTTGCAAACAGAATATTCTGGCCACGGGGCTGGGTGGCCTTTCATTAAACCTGTAAAGGGTAATTTTAGCTCATACTGGCTCAAGAAAATGATTTTAAAATATGACAATTTCAAATGTGTTCAGACCAAAAATAAGTTAGGAAACTTTTCAAAGAGCTCTCCAGAAGGCCTATAACGGGTCCAGTCATGTTGGACATAAACTCTATTCCTTTCAATAGAAGAGCAAGCAAGTAATTAATTAAAACCAGAGCCATTTAATTATTTGTCTATGAAAGAGGAGAAACCCCAGAGTTGTCTCACATGGATACAAGTTTTGATCAGAGGGTGGCAGATTGACCTGCTGTCTGTAATCATGTTTTTTCTACAGGAGAATTCTGCAGCAAACACTAAAGATGTGTCACAAAACCACGTTTACGTCAGTGGCGGCTCCAGAAATGTTTTTCTGCAGGTGCTATGAAGGAGCTAGTCTTTTTATTGAGGGTGCTATGAAGGAAGTGGTCATGCGCACCTATTGTTCTCTAAAACACCTTCAACACTAGCAGATACACATGCGTGCGCAACACCTCAACAACACCTGAAACAATCATTAATATACATCATAAACATATGAACAATCACTGACTTCTCCATGAAATCATAAACACATACAGCCACACAGAAAACCATCAATAGGGTTGCAAGGTTAGCTAACGTTAGTGTTAGCATTTCCAGCGGCAAAACCCTCGACTGCTGCGGCGGTTGAGGGTTGACTCTCTTCATCCAGATCCGTAGGTTTTTGTGGGTCTGAGATCACTTCCAAGGATTCATTCGTTTCTGACTGAACCCGTGGAAATGTGGGCAACAAAAACCGATCCATCTTACCACTAGATCTGCCTTTCACTCCTTCACAGGTGGAGAATGAGGTCAAAGGTTAACATCAGTTTCCTGTTCTGGTTTACACTTTTACTATCTATATGATAATTTACTGATTATTTTTGTTGTGTATGTTAAATATTATCACATCCACACGATAAATTAAAATTTTATTGTAAAAAAAAGAATCTAATATTTACTTGGGGGTGCAATGACTAATCCAGGGGTAGCTATAGCTCCCCCTAGCGCCCCCCTGGCGCCGCCACTGGTTTACCCAAAAGAGATGAATGCTATCATTTAGAGTTTTTCATTTCAGCTTGTTAGTTATTTTTCACATCTGATTCATAAATAAACGTTTCATCACTAGGTGTTATAGCTGCTCTCCATAATGATCAGGATGTGAGAAGAAATGAGGTAAAAACAAATGAATCAGCTGAAGAGGGTTTTACATACGGTAATAATGAGACCCTAAAGGTCTCAGACATCTCAGATATGTGAGAAACATGTCTCTGTAACGGCTGTTCCACTGTAAATAAACTAACATCTGAATGTGGTTGTCTTGAGCAGTGAAGCTGCAGCAGACTTTGTGTGTGTCCTCCTGCTGAGACTGGTGTGTGTGTGTGTCCTGAGGAACCCACACCAGAAAAACTGATACTTCACCTAAACCAGGGGTCGGCAACCCGCGACTCATTCATCCATCTTATTCGCCTCTCTGTGCTTGTAAAATAATGAATGAATATTCAGTTAAAATGTCTTTCATTTTACTGCATTTGTTTTTTATCTGTATACCAATCTAAATGTAAAGATTGTCATATTTTTAAATATTAACAAAAATGATAAAGACCTGAAATGACAGGTCACTTGCTTGTGTGTAATCAAATGTCTCCATAGGTGCTTTCTGAGCTGAGGAGGATATGAGATTCTGGACTTTTGACTCAGACTTTAGCTTCATAATCAGGGAACATTTTCTAAGTGTCTCTGAGAGACAGGGTTTGGAAAACACTCGCTTCAGTGAGAGGGATCTTCTGCATGAGAACTGGCTCTGCTGCTGCCTGTAACCGACGCTCTCCAAGCCCCTATCCACATCTTCGGCTTGCTGGCCACCTTCCGTGCATGCTGACAGCGAGCTGCACTGAGCACAGCATCCAGTATAATGCTCAGATGTTCTGATGGGAATCTCTTCTTGATTGATTTAGCTACTCCCGCAGTGGTGTAACGACTGATGTGCCAGCACATCTGCATACGTCGGGGTAAAAAAACAGAGCTGGTTTACAAAAAGTTGATGTATGACACCGATGGAAATGTTTGAACCAAACATTTATCGCCGTTTTTGACGTGCTTTGCGATGGGCCTATCGTACGTCCTGTTATCACGATGGCGATAATTTTTCGATATATTGTGCAGCCCTATACAAAAGCAACACTGAAAAGAAAGAAAACGATCTTTTATGTAGCGCCTCTCAAGATAAAGATCACAAGATGCTTCACTGAGAATGAATGTGGTCTGCAGACACAGACGATGAGAGATCATGTTGGAGGTGTTGTATTGAAAACAGAACATGTCAGTTTGTAAAATGTCCAACAGAGAAACCAGGCTCACTGCACCACTTCATGGCCATCCACAAAGGTCTCAGATTATGTGCACCACACCATCTCCCAACTACCTCATTTAAACCCAGTAGAGACACACTGAGTTATGGCCACTTGTGTGTTGGGCTGTTGTGGCCATCATGAATCGGGTTGGATCCTTCCTCTGACCCAATGGGTCTAAACATTCTGCTTTAGTGTTCTTGATGTTTTTGTTGAGAGCTTATCTGCATTACTGGATAATTAGTGTCAACAAGTGAAACAAAGACCTCATAATTAACGTGTCGTGTTCCAGAACATGACAAACCCACCATTCCCTAACTGTCTGATGTACACGCATCAAGGCATGGTAGTTGCTGGGACATGATCTTTAAGAGGCTGTTGCGTTTATATTTTTGTTCAGTGCACGTCCCGCCTTTCTTTGTTTGGAAAGGAGAAAACCTGACAGTGCAGCAAACAGCTGGATATGAAATAGGTTTCAGTAGAACCTTCCTACCAAAATGACTGAACATCAGACTCTTTTGGGATGTTCTCACTGTAAAATTCTCACTATATTCTTACACACTGCTAGCCTGGCCTGCCAGACTCCTCCTCTGTTTGATTCTGCACAGAGAAAGGGTCTGGGAACTCTCCTATTCAAATAACCTCACCCCGTGAGAATTCTAACCAAACCAATCAGCGCTGAGTATCGTACGTCACACACCATAATGCAGTTTGTCATAAACTTGGCGTCTGAAGCGGAGCTCGCTGCGGCTCTTTCCTTTGTTCTAAATGATTTGAACACGTCTTTAAAACCACAACAAGTAGAAGCGCCAAAAGCTTTTCTTCTAAAGAAAGATGTTTGCGCCAGATGCATTTTTGACTAAAAAACACTACAGCGTCGCGGACGTCACACACAGCGACGCTCAGTTTCTCATAAACAATGAAGGCAACGGCGGTGTTCGCTGCGGCTTGTTCCTCTGGTCTAAATGACTCCGATGTCTTTAAAACCACAAGAAGAAGCACTAAAAGCATTTCTTCTAAAAAAAAAAAAAGATGTTTGCGCCGTTGCCAGATGCCATTTTTTCACTACAACTAGAAGACTAGCGCGTCGTGCGGTACAGTTGGGATTTCCGTCTTTTTTGTGATTGGTAATTTTTGAGCTGCCTAGTCCCGCCCCTTAAGTGCCTCTCTGCCTGTGAGTTACCAGACTCTCTCTCTGTGCAGAATTAAACAGAGAACGAGTCTGGCAGGCCAGGCTAACATACTGCACCTTTAAAGTTTAAGTCAGTGTGAGGGGCCGTCAGATGGCTCCTCCGAAGAGTTAAACTAAAAGGGTATTAGAGGCTGGAGCAGAGGCTTTAAACACAAAACTGATGTTAGTCTCAGACAGAAGGGCTACACTTTAAGAGCTGATGCAAACATCATCAGTTTAGTCCGAGAATAAAAGTTTTATCTAAATAATCTTAGTTTACCTGATGAGTCAGTCGGGCTTGTTTTGATTTGATGAATGAACGATAAAGACAGGTGTGTGTGTGTGTGTGTGTGTGTGTGTGTGTGTGTGTGTGTGTGTGTGTGTGTGTGTGTGTGTGTGTGTGTGTGTGTGTGGATGGATTCCCGGTGCGTCCACTGGGTGGCGTCATGTCTCCATCCATGGTTCCGCACCCTCAGCAGCTCCTCTCCCTGCCAGGCTGCCACATAAACTCCATGTGTGACTGCTGCACGCGCCACACACGCGCTCTTCTTCTCCGTTTGGAAGAGTTTATCCGGAAGCTCTATCTGAACGGGGCTCGTGCGCTCTGTACTCAGACCCGGGACCGGGGTCGGTGGGAGCTGAACTCACCCTGAACTCCGCTGGCGAGATGAAGCTGGAGCTTCTAGGACTACCCTGACGCAGGACAGCCGCG